CGTTGTGATACACTAAATCCATTTGGACACACAGTAGCGCACGGGTCACATCACACATTGCAAGAAGAGTTTTCCAAATGTACATAGCCACTGCAGCAGCTGCTTTTTAGCCATCCCGCTCTCACATAAAAATACATTACTAAAAGCAGAAGGAGACAATGCAAACACCTCAGTGTGCTGCTTTGGGTGGGGCAGCTCCCCTGTCTTCCCCAGCAGCTGGTATGGGGCTGTGATTTGGATTTGTGCTGGAAACAGTGCTGAGAATCTGGGGATGTTTTCAGTGCTGCTGGGCAGTGCTCACACAGAGCCAGGGCCTTTTCTGCTCTCCTGTAACCCACCCCCTTCTCCTTAGGTTGATTCTCATGCTGTACAAAACAGAAAATGGGATTGAATCACTGCAGTTCCATCTGATGCCCTCTTCAGGGATGGGAACTCTGCAGTGGCACAAACCCTGAACAGAAAGTGGGACCTGCTGGGATCCAAATGCCTCTTGGCTTGCACGGGAAGAACAGGGCAGCTGCTGTGGGGCTGTGCTGTCAGAGGTGCATCCTCTAAGTCCTGTCCAACGCTCCCTGATACTCAGCCTTCCTTTCCCGCTGCTGGTGATGCCACCTCTTTCTCCCAAACCACATCTCCTCTTCCCCAGCCCTGGAAGTTTGCTGGAACAGTGCATACAAGGCAGGTGACTGATGTGCAGAGCCTAGGAAGTGATGGATGTGCAGGGCAAGTGAGGATACAGCGTGCCCCAAGGAGGAGTCTGGGGGAGGATTTCTGCACTGTCAATTACTGAGAACAGATGTAGCTTACAGAGCTTGGGAGGAAAGCTCATCTGATTGCTCTTGGCCAAGTTTAGATGATGGCCAGTCAACAAAATGCGATGCCCAAGAGACTGTGAAACTAAACCCTCTGGAAACATGTCCAAAGAACGAACCAAGCGTGAGGCAGTGCTGCACCAATAAATCAACGGAGCCCTCAGCAGTAACAGTCAGATTTGCACATAACGAGGCTGTTTGAGCCTCTGAGTGCCCTGTCAGAGCTGTTCCATCACAACAATACACACAACTGCTGGCATTAAACAAAGCACAGTCAGCTGCTAGTTTCTCTCAAGTTTAATAAAGGCTATTACTTCCTGCAGTCTCTCTAGGTAGCTGCCTGGTGCAATGTCTTGTTGGATTGCATTTTTAACTCCTCACTATTATTTCTGGAGTTCCAAAAATGTCACAAAGATGGGATCTGGCACAGGGAGCCTTTGACGCAGCTCATCAGAATTACAGGCTGATGGTTACAAACTAAAAACTCCTCAACAGAAATAAAACACTGTTGGAAGGGAAGCTTGCTAAATATCTGCACTGCTGATCTTGCTCAGTCCGTAAGGATGGTGTATGAAACATGGAAGTATAAAAAATACCAAAATAAAAGCTAAAGGTGAATGCTACTTAAAATATATCTCTATTCTAGAGAGAACAACAGGGAATAGATTATTGATTACAAGGCAGTTAACTATTTCATGGAAAGATACGTGCATAGGTTTTCTCCATCTGACTTTCAGACAAAGCATGTCAATCAGTGCTGGAGCAGAACACAAAGCTTTTGCTGGCATTAAACAGCATCTTATGGTGTGGAGCAAGGTAACATTTGGCAAGAATAACATTATCACAATTTGTCCTCTCATTCATGTTCAAAGTTCAGCAGAATCCTGCAGGAAATTGTACTTCCACCATTTTGTTTTCCACCTGTAACATAAAACTGCTGCTTGAATGAAAGCACTGAACCCTGCTGCCCAGAACCACTTTGGATGGGGAAATGGATAACTTCAGAACTTTGTACTGAGTTTCTCCCAGTTTTACCATCACCTGGCAAAAGGCCTGTTTCAAGCAAAGAGAATTCCCCCACCAAGGCAGGAAATGGAACAGACTGGCCCATGTGTCACTGAACACCAGAAGCAGGAACAGTCAGGGTGAAGCTCTGCCCACAAGGGCAGCTCCCAGCCCCAGAGCTCAGAAAGCAACAGCCCACTCCCCACTCACACTCAGGCACGGGAGCTCCCTCTGCCCATTTCTCATCCTGCACTTCCCCTTTCATTCTCCACATCCCAGGTGACAAGGGAGCTTTTCTCTTTCCCAAGATGGATTTCCTTTTCCCATTATTTTCTTTAAACAAACAACAAAATCAAGAAAATGAAAGTCAGTAGCAAAAGAGAAAAAGAGGTCTTGTTTTCTAGGCCAAACACAGATTGTAGAATGCAAAGCAAATGTTTGTTCCTAATTTTCCCTGATTAGACTTGAGATACTGGTATTAATAACCACTGCAATCTGCAGTTAGTTCCTTGGAAGGAAATTTCACACAGAAGTCATTCATCTTTCTTTAGTTTTTCTGTTTCCACAGGCACTGAAAGCAGCACAGAAAGGACTCCTTGGGTGAGGAACAGATGGGTGGAAGGACAGGTAGAAGATGCCTTTCTGCAGTGCAGGTGTGAGGTTCATTTGTGCACAGGTTCTCTCCCTTTCCTGGCCACATTTGTTCCAGCTTCATGTATGGATTTCTGCACATGTATAATCTGGGTGAAAACCTCTTGTCACCATTTGTGTATTAATAACATCCCTACTGCAAACAAAGGTGAGAAGCTCTTAGATGGAAAAATATTGTTCCTCTGGGTACAAAAGTCAGGCCAGCACTAAAAGCCCTGGGTTTTGATGTTTCCCCCCAGTCAAGGCTGTGTTTGTGAGGTGTATGGCAGACAAGCATTTCATGTCATCTACAGGCTGTGCATGTTATAACAGCATCCTAATGCCAAAATTAAATTTATTTTGTGAGACACTGCTTCTTAAAGTGCCTTTTGCACATAAATGTGAAGGGAGACTCTTAGCATGGCTGTTAGGCCATCATAAAGGATGTTCATGACTTGTTTCTCAATTATGCTTTTTCACTCTCATCCTGTGGCAGTACAATTCCCTTTTCACCCACAAACCATGCTCATGACACACATATAGTGCAGTAAAACTGATGCACATAAGAGGAATGGATCACATTAATCTGTGCAATTGAATCAGAAGACAATGCAACTCCACAGAATTTGCAATTCAGGGAGCCTCAGAAGATTTTGAAAGGTCCTGTTGCTGCACATACCTCTGGCTGTTTGGTTTATAATTTACAGCAGACATGTTTTCTATAAACTAGCAAACATGAGACAAAATGTAGTTGTTGGGCTTGATTTTTTCCCTAAATAAGTCCTTATATCCTTATCATTAGAAAGCCTGTGCTCTCACCTTTTTTTTTACCACACCATATTGACATATAGCTGTTGAAATGGGAACAAAAATCCCATTGTGTCGGCCGTGATTTGTACTTCCATGACAAGCACTCGTCTGCTGAGGTAAGACAGAACTGGGGACTGAATTCAGTAACATTAATGATTTTTCTTTCAAAAGAAATTACTCTTCTGGACCAGAGAATACTCTATTAAAGCTGGAAATGCTGGGGGAAAAATTAGAATGACAACGTGCTCCATGCTGTTGGAATCTGCCTTGTCCCACACTTATAATTGCAATGCAGTGTTTTGGTCTGTACACAAATGTTGACAACTTTGTTTTTCTCTAATCTGAATAATTTCACATCGATCTGAAGCAGTAATATCCTTGTGGGAATTGACTTAAAGCAATGAAGGGAGCTTTTACCAAATGCTCTCCAAGAAAAGCTGATGTTTTGAGGATAACTGGGAGACAGGCACAGCACTGAACCAGATATTCCAGGTTCCACATGGTGCAGTCTACAGAGACACAGCAGATGTTTAGCACTACTGTTGATACCCTTGTGCCCATGGGGAATTTTGCCATTTATTTGGAAAACAGTTTATTAAAAATGTCAAAAACCCCAGCACATCAGCAGCATTTGGATTGTTAGAGCAAATGTACAACCTGAAATGTTGGAGAATATCAGATTTCTCATTTAAAATGAGATATTCTCCACATCATATGAAGAGCTTAAGAAGCATTCAAAGAGTTCAGCTTTAAAAAGCACAGTCTTTGTTATCTAAAATAGACTGGGCTGCTGCAACCCAACTATTTCTGAATAAAAGCAGGTCATTATTAAAAAGAGGGCATTTGTAACAGCAGCCACATTACAAAAGAGACTGTCAGATACAAGCATCCATAGGAATTATGTGTGTGGTCTTGCATGATCAAGAATAACTCCCACAGGATAAGGTGAGGAATATGCGGTTGGACTTTTTATGCTCTTATGCTTTTTGTTCTGCATGAAGACATTAACTCTGAATTTTGAAAGTATGAACTTTTTTCAGCAGGCTAAAGGTACCTACAGTTTTTACAAGTCACTGGAATTGGGTGTTCTTGAGTCTTCAGGCATCTTTTAAACAGACCAAAGCAAATGACTGGCACTGCAAATGGGTCTCCAGTGCACTGGCAGCCACCAGGCAGAGTGACCCTGGTTCCAGTGCCAGCAGCCAGAGCCATGTTCTGTACACACCATGACATGCTGGGAACTGGAGCAGGGATCTCCAGTGGCCTTTAGCTGTTAACCTCAGGAAGCAGCTTGAAAAATATTATTATTGTAGTTGGTAACAGTTTCTAAAAGGATGACTCCCAGGAATGCAAGAGCTCATTGACTTCACACATGCACATCTTTCTCTGAGGTTAAATGGGAATGGTTTGTGAGCACACAGTTGAGAGCAGAATTACCTAATGAAGTGCACTTGCCTGAGCACAGCCAGCTCACACAGAGCTTTCTTGCAAACACAAAAAGGTGCTTTTAATGTGAAAACCTGCTTTTGTTCCCAGCTTGGGAATGTTGATGGGAAATTGTGCTTCTAGGCTCTGGGACACGTGTATGCATAAATGCACAGAGCTCTGTTAGCATTTGCATCATTGTGGTCTCAAGAGGGAAAAGGTCTGAAAAACAAACCTGTTTTTACACAAGGACAGAAATGAAATTATCCAAGTTTGGGCACATTAGTAACAGTGACAGCCAAACAGACTTACCCAGTTAAACGCACTCTGCTGAGAGGCTCCCCATGGAACAAGGCACAAGAGCCAAAAGGAGGCATCTCCAAGGCAGTAGTGCAGAGCTGGGCACTGAATCTCTCCACCCTGGTGATGAGAAAAGAGGGCATTAGGCTACAGCATGGCAGGGGGGAGCTGCAGAGAAAAGGGGATGATGAAGCCATGGGCAGTGTAATGTCTGGGGTAGCTAATAAGACCATTTATTCTCACACCATCATTCCACATCATATGAAGACATTTAATAAGAACTCCTCTGAAAATCTCAACTGAAATTCCAGGTGTGACTCTTTTGACTTAGCCAGTAATTTTTCAAACCACCTCTAAGAGCAAGGCAGACAGCATTTTTATGTTTTCATTAGATCTATGGAGTATCTTTCTGTGTACAGTGCAAGCTCCCTTTGCTCTCTTCCTTTCTCTTCTGCTCATAGGTGGGACTTCACTGGAATATCCATCAAGGATAGAAGTTAATCCCCTTCCTAAGAACCTCTGTTAGCTCAATGTGCTCACCTCTTATGCAAAAGAGCCCCCAAGTGTACAGAAGAGAAAACTGAAGAGAGACAACCACAGCTGCCCTGGAGATAAGATTTATGGTCTGCAACAGATCTTTCACATGATGCTCAATTGCACATTATGAGAAGGAAGAATTTAAAAAGAAAAATATTTGTGTGCTTCTCATCTTCTGGGAGCCTGACTCCCAGCCTGACTGACAGTTCCCCAGAAATGCATCTCAAGGGCTTAGTGAACCCCTAAGACCTGCTCTCCTGCCTTCCTGCACAACACGAGCCATGGAATTTCACCCAGGCATCGCTGTCTCCACACAGAACATGGTCTCACTAACAAAATCCAACATTTCTGACTGGATAAGTGCCATCCCCCACCTTGAAAGTGTAATCAGACTGGACTGCCTACCAACACCCAGAATATAAGCTGGGAAAGATCCTGCTAAGCAATGCTTACCATTTTAGATTTGTATTTCTGGAGTTTTCCCATCTCTTATTGAGCTCTTGAGAACATGTAAGACACCAGCATTATCTTCTGCATCTTTTCCCACTATGCAACAAAAAAAAAAAAAATTGTATTAGCACCACTGTAATGAACTGGTACAAACCAGAAGATTCCTACATGATTGTCTATGCTCAAAACATGAGGTAGTGAAATACAAAGACAAGAGAGACATCAAGTCAGTATTATTACTGGATTAAAAAAAAAAGCAAGCAAGCCCTTCCAACCTGTTTGTTAAGCAATGCTGTTTGGGAATACTCTCCTTGCTATTCTATTTGCTTCCCCGTTGGGAGGAAGGTGGAATGCATGTGTTGATAAGACTAAAATTTCCTTCTAGAAGGGCTGTTTGACTTCTAAGTAACACTGAAACACAAATAACTTTGCTTGATTTACATACAAACTACTCTGATGAGCCACATGCATTCCCCTGGCAATAGCTGAAGCAACACAGGCTGTGACTGAAGCTCCTCAGCTGTCCTGCTCCTTCCCCTGCTCAGGCACTTCGCATACTGCAGGGAATGTGGCAATTGTTACTCACCACCAGGTTGGGCAGAAAATTCAGTAACTTTAAACTCTTTAAATGTCCAGTCCCAGCTTCTTAACATTTTGCTTCAGCAAAGTACTTCAGTGCTGATGACAGTGAGGGGAGCTGGTGGTGTTTGTTCTCTGCTTTCTTTCAGTTATTCTGTGAAGTTAAAAAAGGAAAAATGTTTATTGGTGCACAGTCAGTTTCCATCTAAAAGCTGAATCTGATTGCATTTTGGTTTCACTTGGGATAGATCTCTGACAGAAAATGCATCTTTGTTTTTTAATTAATCCATTCAGGGACCCTAACTCTGCACAGAAGCTCACACTTTTTATGTAATTACTTCTAAAGGCCTTTTTCAGCACAGCATGGCTGTCTCTTCAGATTACTCAGTATGTTTCTTTTCCTTTCTTAGTCTTTGTTGGCAGAATGTCAGCTTTAAGTGGTGAATTCTGCAGGCAAGGCTGCCTGTTCCTGGGGACCCCCTCTGCAGAGGGAACTCAAGAGCTTCCCTCTCTCCTCAGAGAGGTTCTGTCCAAGCCAGACAGGGTTCCCAGCTCAGTGCACAGGCACAGAGCCTCTCCATCCTTCCTGCTGCTGCTGAGAGCTCTGTGTTTGCAGGCACGAGAGGCAAAGCTGTGCCAAGAGCGTTCCCTCAACACCACAAGTGTAAAAAGAACCAGCACAAGTCTCTGGTGCATCAGCTGTGACACTCAGGAACCACTCTGTTCAATATTTAATCCTAAGGCTCCTTTAGCAGCTTGTTCAATTATGGGGTGAAAGAAAGAAAGAGAAAAAAAGGGGAGGGAAAAAAAGAGATACAATTAGACTAGAGTTCCCATCACCACCACCATTCATCACCAGCCTTGAGAAATCAAAGCTCTTTATTCTCTCCCACTCATTCCACTCATGTTTAGCACGTCTAAGTCAAACACAGCAGATTCCAAAGGAGTGACTGGGAAATACTTTTCCTTGAGTAGCCCAACAATTCGAGTGCTGCTGTGAATGGAAGGAGCTCTCTTTGCCTGAGCTGAGCTACACTCAAGCACTAAAGCAACACACTCAGCAAGGCAGGGGAAAAGCCCCCCTCATTCTCTGCAGATTACGACACAAAAGGTACAAGGAAAGGGCTCAGCTCCGCACTGCAGGAAAGGCTGCTGATGCCACCAAGGCAGGAGGGGACACCTTTGTGCTGCTCTCAGGGAGCCCGCAGTCGGCAGGGGGCAGCTGCTGATCCCAGGTTGCTCCTGGTGGATCAGGACTGCAATGTGCTGCCCTGAGGGTGCTCTCACTTCTGCTGCCACAGAGCTCTGCTGCTCCCCCTCGTTCCTCCACCAATCCCCACTGCTGCTACATCGCCATCTCAGCCCAATGCTCTCTTCCAGCTTTTGCAATATTTAAAAAAAGCTTTTCCAGAGAGCACACCAATCTAAAGCAATGTTACAAAACTAGGCCTGTAGCAATATTTACAGATGTACAGAGTAAAATGGCTGTTGTGCCTCTGGGTTAAAATCCAGAGGAGCAATTACTGTTTGGGCTCCCGCATTCCCACTGACCCATCCAAGCCCTGGCAGCAGGGAGAGAAGGGAACAGCCCAAGGTGGGTAAAAGCTCACTGGAGTGGGTGAAGTGGGCAGCTGTTGGGCACCCCAAGTGCCATCCCCTCCCACCACCATCCCGCCCCAGCCCACAGCAGAAGCACTCCCATTTATTTATTTCCAGGCATCAGGCTTGCAGTTGTTAACCACTGTCACTGCCTGACTGGACACTGAGCAGTTCCAAAAACACCGGGCTGGGGGTGACAATTTTCTGTCAGTGTGACATCTAACATCTTAGGGAATAAATGGTGCCTTGACACATGCCTAAGACTTTTAGATATTAGCACCAACAATTATTTCTGCTTCACTTCTTACACTTTTTGCGAGTTTTAAATATTTAGAGTTCAGCTCGTTCAAAGCTTTATTTTATTTGATTTTTGATATTTGCTTTTTAACTGTCACACTTTCTTTGTCACTGCTTTCAGCACTCTGGGGACTCACATTTCTAACTTCCTGAGAATGCATCAAGGGGTTTGGTGCTGCTTCTGATGCACAGATTCACTCACACCACAGTAATTTTCTCACCTTCAAACGCCATTGAGATGCCCTGGTTTCTGTGCTCTCCTCCACAGCTGCTCAGGTTGCCTGACTCTCTTTTTCTAGAATAAAACCCCCAAACAAACCAAACCAAACTAAACCTAAAACCTAATTATTTTGCCCATTTTTTTCACACCCAAGGGACTTTGGGTGTGCAGAATTGGTGACACGTGGGTCCTGAGCTCCCTTTCCATTTCAGGCATGCTGCATTTCTGCTTATTTCACAGAAAACCGTGCACTAGTAGCTGATTTCCTGGCAGTAACCCACCAATTGCACTGATTTAAAGGTGCTCACTTTGGCAATGTGTCTGTGTTGTGGGCTCCTGGGCACCACCATCACCCAGACATCACACTGCCCTTCACACACCCACCCAAATTGCTGCTGGGCTCTAAAGCAACGCAGGGCAGAGGCTCTCACAAACAGCTTGTGATTAAAATAGCAAATAACATCACCTCACATGAAAATATATTTCAGTGCTTGTTTGATATTTTGTTTCTACTCCAATAAAAAGGCAATCATAATCTCTCACAGATTGTTGCTCCCCAAAAAAAGCAGATCACAATATGCACTGACTGCAAATGCCAGATTTAAATATTCAACACAGCTGTACTTGTGGAGAGCTGACAGAGAAAATTCCCCTGCTCTCCCTTCCTCCTCATTCAGCAAATCAGGCAGAGGATTTTGAACATAAATTCAGAAGGTATTTTCATAAACAGAATATTTCAGCAGTTAAGACTGAGGTTTTAAGCAGTTCTGTCTCTCCGCACCTTCTCTTCCTACGCCTTGGTGGAAATGAATCAAACTCTTAAGCTGCTGCAATAATCTCTAAGAGACAAAACAGATGGAAAAAATAATGGGATAAAGTACCCTATGAGCAAGATTTTGGCAACACAAACCCAATGCTTCTGTTCTTTACCTAAATGTTTAGACTTGCAGCAGGCAAAACCAAAATAAAATTGGTTTTGTTTTAAATATGCGGCACATTTCATATAGATCACACTTTTCACATTAAAAAAAATGTATATAGGGAAAAGTAACTCTGATAGAACAAAATACTTCAATATTATTCACTAGGTTATGCCAAGAAAGAAAGAAGTCCTTAGGTACATGTGCAGACATTGCAGTGCCCCAAGGCTGCAGCCACAGAGGCCCAGCCTGAGGCAGAGGGGCCTGAAGGGCTCCGGGTAGAGGGCAGTGCCCAGGGGCTCCCACATGGGCAGCTCCCTCCATGAGCAACTCCCTCCATGGGCAGCTCCCAGCATGGGCAGTGCCCAGGGGCTTCCACATGGGCAGCTCCCTCCATGGGCAGTGCCCAGGGGCTCCCAGCATGGGCAGCTCCCACCATGGGCAGCTCCCTCCATGGGCAACTCCCTCCATGGGCAGCTCCCAGCATGGGCAGCTCCCAGCATGGGCAGCGCCCAGGGGCTCCCTCCATGGGCAGCTCCCACCATGGGCAGTGCCCAGGGGCTCCTTCCATGGGCAGAGCTCGTGGGGACCCCCTGAGGCCAGGGAATGCACACCATGTCCCTCCTGCATGGAAAAGCAGATCAGGTGGGATCACAGTGGGAACAACTGCATGGATCAGGCACGGAGCTGCTTGCAAGGAGCCTGGAGAAGCACCAGTTCTGTTCCTTTTATTACCTGGTCTGCCATTACACTGTCTTCTCTTACCCCAGGGGCCCTGATTTTGCCATCCTAATTCCCCCTTTTTGATATTTATTAAACATTTTCTCCATCATCTGCCGCAGCAGCTGCCTGAGTCCTCATTTTTTTACTAACGAGATTTCTCCGCTTCTCACACTGTTAATTTGTTATTGCAGCCACAAGTGAGCTTCAGCCTGGACAGCCTGGACATAACTTTCTCTTTGATTTCTGGATGGTTCCTGCAGGTTCCTGTGTCTCTATTCTGTTTGTGCCACTCTGTGGCCACGTGCCTGGGCACTGCTGGGTCTCAGCAGCCTCTCCTGCTGCTGTCTCCAAGCTCACAGTCAGGGCAGGTTAGGTGTGTAACTCTAGGGGCCATTATGAACTTGCAGCGAGATGGATCCCCTTGCTGAAGGAAATAGGACTGAAAAACATCCAAGTACCACCCAAGGATCCCTGTGCAACCTCAGGCCTACAGACTGAAATTCCAGCAGAATGTTTAAAGAGATGCAGCTAATACCTTGAAAGAAATGCATTTTAGGGAAGCTATTTTGACTAAGAAGCAGGGAAAAAAGAAATCAGAATTAGGGCCATGAAAGCCCATACTGATATAGAAGTAAAAATGTGTGCATGTTTGCATGTGAAATCTTGCAGCTTAAAAGCACACACAGCTTTGGGGGTTTTTGGTTACTTGGTTTTAATCTGATCCAAGTCATGATCCTCAAATTGGGTTTTCCATAACTGGTTTTAGCTGAGCTATAATGCACTGAATTTAGAACCCTTAAATCTTCTTCATCTCACGTTGTTTTTTGGAGATGAGTATTATAATAAATTTCATTTCATACTGGTAACAAGTGCAAGACTTGAGCTAAATATTTACTGTTAAGAAAAACATAATACTTTTCTTTTTGAGGCAGAGCAGCTGCAGCATCACCAGTAAATGTTTGTCCTTTCTATTTCAGCATTAATAACCACGTTTTTATAACCTTGTTCAAGAAACCCACAAGAAGCTGGCCGTTCTATTTCTATCATGTTTGTGCCCTTTACATCATTTCCTACTTCCAATGACTAATGATGATAGGTAATTACTTAAGAGATGGTAAAAGCTCTTTAACTGCTTTTAAGGGCTACTGAGCTCTGCTGCATTTTGGGAGCATTAACTTCTGTCCCTTTCCATCTTCCTCAGGTCATTCCAAGTTTGTTCAGCCATCATTAGGTACTCAAAGGCTTGAGAGTTTTGTGTTTTTTAAAATTCAGAACTGGGGGGTCAGTAACACATTCAAACCATTGCTTTTTCAAACACTTCTCTTTTGTGAGGCCACTGCTAACACTGAGACACCAGGAGCCCTCTCTGCTCCCTGTGATGAGCACAGC